AACCCTGGTCCAGTATGCAACTTCTACAAAGAGTAGAAACCTGAAGCCACCAGTGCACATCCACTGAGAATGGACTTTACAGTGAAGTAGGAGACATCTTATCTTATCGTCCTGCATTTGCATATTTATAGATTCTGGAATTTTTAATGAGGTAGAAGGAGCAAATTAATTTTAATGCGGAAATTAATTATTAATCATTTATGTCTTAACACATGTCTGGAGGGGCTCTTTAAAGATCCCAGTCTGACTTCTGTTTAAGACACTCAGCCCTAAACTCACTCATTCCTACTGAAGATGTAAACAGCAGTAAGCAGTGTATGTGTCGGGGAATATTTTGAGCTGTGGACTATACTACGCATTTGGTTAGTCTTCAAGGCTCGAAATAAACTAAAGGGTGTGTGTAATGAAGGAACAGTGTGGTTCATTGATGTGTGTTTTGCACAGTAATGGCTCTCTCAGGCTTTCACTACACACACAATACTTGTTAGTTGGATCAAGTCGTTGTCGGTTTTAGTCTTTTCAAGGGATTTCTTGACCACAACAACAAATATTGTATCTCCATCCTAATATCCTTCAATATCAATAAATATCTCCCTCTGTCAATCTTTAGCCATGTGTTTGAGTGTAGGTTTTGTCCACCTACACACTCACACACTAACCAGAAATGGCAACCACATAGACTGATAATCCCTCATTAGCATCAGCTGTCTGTCCATCTAGTCCTTCTTCAACATGTCATTAACTCCAAGCAGTGCTTAAAAAAGCACAGTAGCTAAATGGTTACTGAACTTTGCATCAGGGAAAGTTCTGTCTTCTCAAACTCACTTTTTGACCTTTTCTGCTTCGGAACAAAAACATTCCACCTGCTGGAGTTTCCAGACACACTGCCTCTGTGTTCATTGATACAGATTTTTTTTTGTTGTAAATAACAGGTTCATCTCCTCTTTTGCTGAAGGTAGGTGCATTCTGTTCCCTCACTGCTGGCAAATATACACATTATTTTTGCACAACAAAATGTCTAACCTAAACAGGCTGCCATGGTTGAGCTTGAGTAGACGGGAACAATTCAGAGGTTTCTTTCCAAAACTGACAGAAACTGTGGTCTGTTATTAAAGATCTACCTACATGGATTTCCCACAGACTGCTTTGAATAAAAACCTCCAATTACCATAGATTTCATTTGTACCTCATTAATGGGAGAGAGAAGCTCACATAGGACAGGAAATGAGGGTAGTGATTTGCAAGGTGAACATTCAGTCAGCTTCAACTAAGCAACAGACCCTGAAAGAATAGTTCTGTCATGGTATTAGTCCCAAAGACAAACTTAAAAACGTTACTGAGGCTCAGTTTGCTGCTGTGAACCTCAGATATCTGGATGAAAGTTGTTTTGGTTTTTTTAGAAGCACGGTGTGCACAAACCAGTACCTGAGGAGTTGAGACTGTAGAAGCCAGAGGATGGGACAGGAAGAGAAGAACAGATAGACTGCAGCCTGGAAACGGAGGTGAGGAGGAGGAAGAGGAGGAGGAGAGGAAAAAACGGAGGAGGAAGAGGAAGTAAAAGAGGAAAAGGAAGAGGAGAGGAGAGGAGGGGTTACCGGTATTCCTGCAGCCATGGCAGACAGTAGTTTTTGTCTCCATCTGTCCTTCCCTGTCCCTGTCCCATCCTCCGGCTTGTCTGGCTGCAAGACAGAGGGACAGGTTACACACACACACACACACACACACGCATAAACGAACAAAAACGTATACACATCACAATTAAGCCATTTTCTGCCTACAGTACAGACCCTTCCCTATCTTTATTGCTTTTATTATTAATGATGTGCATAATAAAGGCATTAGAATTTTATAGTAATTTAGTATGTATTGCAAAATGTATGAGGTATGTGAGGGATAATACACAATGAATTATACGTTCCACGACTGTAGCAGAAAACATACAACATAGGCGAAGAGTTCTCAGCAGCCATGGTTTTATACATTGGTATATATACAATCAATATATAAACAATTATTTCAATTCCTTGTGGGGGAGCTGTGTGGAGCTTTCTCTTTTTCTTGAAACACAATGTTGACACACACTACAAAAAAAAACAAAAAACACCAGTCGCATCCTTCAAGTTTCCTACTTTTATCCTAAGGTCAGGTATTTGGGATGGTGAGGCCGTGATCCTGAATCATGTGAATCACTTCCTGCCTCGGAGAATCGCACTGTGGCAGGAAGCCATCTGTCGCCGCAGCAAAGTGTATGTGGGCCAACAGGACTCAATGTGATTGACCCAATTTACAGACGGAATCTAGATCGTTCCCAATCAGTAGATTATCACACTAATGTCTGCTTGCGCTTTGGAAACCAGACTATCAGGATCCATCTGGATCATTAAGAACCATCTGATTCAAAATGTGGAGACTGAGCCGTGTGTGCGAGTTTCATGATCAGCTGATCACACGTTTGTTTTCCCAGCAGATTGGAATATATGGTGATATGAATGAGTTTTACTATAAAATACCTTTCCATTAGTACTGATGACAGTCAGGTCCAGCTAAGAAAATGGAATCCATATGTTCATATTTCGTAATGCACAGAGTTAATAGGCTTTATGGAAAAGGACAGAGGTTTCTTTTCTGCCCTACCTCATTCTTCTTCTTTTTCTTATTTTTCTGCTTCCTCTGTCTCTTCTGAAGGAGGATGTTCTCGTACTTTGGCCTGGGATGTTCCTGAGACAAAAACAGGAGAGAGAGTCACATTTGTGAATAGTATGTACTTGCAAGTGTTTTTCCTTTGTTGTTGTTGTTTCTACTTTTGACTGCATTTAGAGTGTTTACCCAAGTCTGTTGTTCAATATTAAGTACTTAGGTGCACATCGATTTCCAATATCCATAACTACAGATGCTTAACTGTGTTTCATGTCCTTTACTTGAGATAGCAGCAGTAGCAGTACATATGAACATATTGTTAGATGTAAGAAATATGCTTACCCCCATTTGGAAGGCTGTTGACTAAAAATTTATTTTATTTACTTGAGGTATAGAGGAATAATTTTGGCCACAGCAAGAATAATAATAATAATTTCAGATATAAAGTTCATCTTGGGCTCAAATTGAAGCTTATGATTGTGGGAAGTTTTCTAGATACAATTCAGGATACTCCCTGCCAATTGTCATACTTATAGTACCTTCATATTTGCGTCATTTCACCTGAAACATACCCCAAAAAACGGGGTTTCAGGTTCTCTGACATCAAACAGTGCTGAGTTGGGGGTGCTCATTATCAACTTCTGATGACCCAAGCTATAGGCTAACTGGAAATAATGTGTGAAAAAAAGGTAGCAGAAAACACCCAGAGGGCTGGACCTGGCTGCCAGCCTCTACTGATGCAATGATTATTATTATTTAATTAATAATCTTAGTCGACTTTGCCATTGAACTTTTAGAAACATTGTTGCTAGAAAAATGTAAAGTTTTGTGATTTGCTCGATGCATTTATGTCAGTGTGTTTATATGGATCCACACATTTCTATGTTGTGTGAATTATGTGTGGCTTATGTACTTATATGCTGTATATACCTCGTCCTCCTCGATGCCGGTCAGATCCCAACTGAAGCTCAAACTGATCTGACGGCGCTTCCACTGCTCCAGGAACAGGACCGCTGCACAAACACACAAGTCAAATCATTTGGATGAAACTCTTTAGAATGATCTCCATCTTCAGATGCACTGACAACCTGGTGCATTTATGGTTTGGCAGTGATCTGACTGCTGATCAAAATAAAAAGTTTTGGCACATGAACAAGTGAAGTGTTGAACTACATCCTCCAGTGATTGAAATACATCCAGAGAAGAATTTTCTTATTTCCACTGCCCAATTTTACAAACATTACTTACTTGCTTCCTACAAGTAAGTAAGCTTCCTACCGCATCTCATGGATGAAAGCTTGAGAAAAAAGCTAGTAAGTGGGCATATCCTGTAGAAAGCTCTGGAAAAGGGCTGGTAAGTGGAAATATTTGGTTAAAAGCTATGAAAAAAGCTAATAAGTAAACAAAATTTTTGGAACTTGGAAAAAACTATTAACCATTAGACTACGTAGTGTTTGTGCCTCAAATCCAACTGTTCTTTTTTGTTATCCTGTAACGTGCTGTTCTAGCTTGTTGCTCCCAGCGGGACTTGCACTTGAGGTGAAGGAGTTTGTAAGATATTAATGAGCAACTTCACATTCAGGCCACCGTTTTCACACGCACATATACACGCACGCACACATGTAACCTCACCCCACAGAGACATGAAGATGGCGAAGAAGACAGTGGCAGGGTTGTCGAAGAGGTGTGAGGCTCTGGCTGTGCCGCAGGCGGTGCTGAGGTGCCAGAAGTCACAGGCTCCGTCACAAAGAGGACACATGGTGAAATTGAGACTCTCGTTACACATTTCCTGGCTAAGGAGGGAGAAAATAGAGACTTAAGTCACACAGCACTTAGATGTAACAACATTAATACAGCCTTAAAAAGGTTATGTTGCTGTACACAGATTCAGTCCCTGTGTGTGTTACATTTAACATTAGAAATGAATGGAACTTTTAACACATAACCACAATACGAGCTTCTCTGCTTTGACCCTATTCATAGTCGGTGTAGGCTGAATTATCAACCTTTTGCTTCATGACACGCTCACACACTGCCAGCCGTACCTTCTGTGTTCCTCCCACACAACTCTGACTAAAGCCAGCTACAGCAGGTATCTGGGCAATCCCTGTCTAGTGTGTGTGTGTGAGGGCATGTGTGCATACATTTAATCATGGTAGGAGGAAATCCTAATTTTCTGCATCTTTCTAATGTTGGTATTTTATCCAGCATCCTGTTGTCTTTATCACTTAGCATCTTCAACGTTAAAATCAGGAGAAATGTCACACTGGGTTTTGTCCTTTTTTTGTACCTTAATTCAACTGAAATGTGTGACTTTACAAATGGAGCTGCAGTACACATTGTGGTACCTGGGTATATTAGTCTCCACTGTTGCCACACCGAAGAAAAACACAATGATTCCCACTATGGAGGCTGGTATCAGCAGCTGGGTGTATACACCGAGCCAGGCGAAGTACAGACCAATCTTCTCCCCGAAGTACTTCCTGTGGGGTCAAAGGTCAGAGATTAGGAGGGGAAAGTGTCAGTGAAGTTCACGGTGAACGCGGAGCAGACTGTGGAGAGTTAAGCAGCATGCTAGAATCCTAATGCTGTGTTAAAAATAAAATGCTACAATAGAGTAAGAGGTGTGTTTTATTTAGGGCTTTTATTTTTATTTATGGCTTTCATTCATTACAGTGAGCTTTTAAAAAGCACTTTCTTACAGAGTTGTGTACAAACTCCACTTCCTATGCTACAACAGACAGACTATACGCCTCAAACATGGACTTAACTATAATCTTATAGACATGAAAACATGGTTTCAAATGTTAAGCATTTTTTGCCATAAAAAAATGCTTAAAATGCGGCTCGCACAGCTGAGGTGACCACACCGAAAGCGTTTCTGCTGAAGGGCTGCTGCTGCCAGCCCTATCTTTCTATACTGAGTTTGCCTTTGATAAGTACGATAAAAGCCCTGTTAACATATGAATAGATTCTGTCCACAGAAATGCGAGAGCTTTTAATTTCAAATAGTTTTAGAAGGTGACATGTTCTAATGTTGGAATAACTATGAACAGACCCTTTTCGCTGTTTATTTTTGCATGGAACCACATGCGGCTTGCGGAAAAAATAGGAGCGAAGCGTGACTCACGCGGGCAGTGTCGCTGTTCTAATCTGCAGGGCGCCGAAAATATATAACGAGACAATCCGATACACACAAGCGCTGCAGAAGCCGGCAGTGTGGACCAGAGTTAAGATTTTGAAAAGAACCTTCTTAGGGGCCAATCACACAGAGACGCATCGCTAAAAACATGTCGACAGGAAAACCATTGTTCCCCCATCAAATCAAGCAAGAGGCGGGCTTTACCACTTCCTTCCTGTTTTGATGCTGTTTACTATGCTGGTGAAACACAGAAAAACACTAATGAAGGAATCCAAACTGTTCGAACTTTGGCAGAAAAGTCTGTGTTCATGTGGGAATCAAACACTCACAGTAGGAGTCTGATTGGGAAAATATGTTTTCAGGGCCTTTAACTATCCCAAATTACATAATCATTTGATTGGTGGTACTTGCTAGGGGCAGTACACAATCTGGTAGAAAGCAATAAAATAACTAAAATACACAAATCAGAATGTGTTCCCTTTTAAAGGACAGGTTAACATAATTTAAGTCTATATATTAGTCATTTTGTGATTTGATTCTTTAACGTTTGATATTTAATATTCTCAGAGTGAAGTGGTCCTTTTCATTTCTGATTGAAAGGACAGGTTCTATCTTGTATTTAGTATGTCTATTTTACTACTCATATATCCACACAGCAATAGCCAAAGAGAGAATTTCCCTTCTAAAAAGACTATGTATAACTTTGGGAGATAAACGTCTGTATATTTGCAGTTTGTCTTTAATGTATGAGTTACTGATGTGATTTCCACATGACAGTGCTGTGGTCACGTTACCTGACGAGATCAATGGGCTGGTACTTGTAAAAGGCCGAGTATCTGGCCCACTCCTCGTGAAGAACCTGACAGGGAAGAGAGACAGAGTCAGTGTGGGTGTGGGTTGTCATGTTGAGCGTTTACCAGATGTGGCAGATTGAAAATCAACAAACAATCCTCAGAGCT